AAATCATTGAAATAAAGAATTTTACATGGAGATTCCACTTAATGAGAATTACAAGATTTTGTTGTTCATGTGTGTGAATTATCTGTCTTTAAGTGGAATTTGCAATACTATATCTCAGTGGCAACTGTGGTTTATTGTATCATCATATTTGTTTTCGCCTTTCTAATAGACTAATTACATGTTTTTGACTGTTGCTTGACTTCAGTATAATTATTAATTTAGCAACTTTAAGGAATTTTAGGGTGCTTATAGTCACCTCATTACTTTGTACTTAATGTAGAGACCACCAAATATTAACTTAATAAAAATTTGCAAAATCACCCAAATTTACAACTGTTGAGTCAATTCTGACTCAGTGATCCTATACATTGCCCTTTCCCAGGTTATAAATAGGTTCATTTTATTATCTGGAAAATTTTTTACCTGTTAACATACTCAATTATGTATTTGGACAAATATATTTATTTAAATTTTTCAGAGATTAAATTCTATTATTTGCTCTGAGTTGACTACACAAAGTTTTGTATATATATATTTCCCATCGTTTTTAGAAATAGTTTTCCATGTGTAGCAGTGTTTAACGAAGTTATTGTTAGATGCCATTGAGTCGGTCCGACTCATAGCGACCCTATGTGAAACGGAGTGAAACACTGCCTGGTCCTGCGCCCTTATTACAATTGTTCGTATGTTTGAGCTTATTGTTGCAGCCAATGTGTCAGTCCAGCTCCTTCAGGGTCTTCCTCTTTTCTGATGCTCCTCCGCTTTACCAAGCATGATGTCCTCTGCAGGGACTGATCTCTCCTCACAATGTGTGCAAAGTATGTAAGATGAAGTCTCACTCTCCTTGCCTTTAAGGAGCATTTTGGGATTACTTCTTCCAAGATAGGCTTCTTTGTCCTGTGGTAGTCAGTGGTACTTTCAATATTCTTCTCCAGCCCCACACTTCAAATACTTTGATTCTTCTTGGTAACTCTATGAATTATTTATTAGTTGTGTTTGGAAATCTAAATCAGAATTAAACTCACACAGAATTTCAGGTTACAAACGGACCACATGAAAACACAAAAGTATATTGTAAGGGTTTGCACTGTTTTGTGTTTAACGTCTACTCAACTCAACAAAGGAAAAATTGTGAGGAGGTGCAAGACTGCATGGTGCACCTCATAGACCACACACAAACGCACACTCACACTCAGTCACTCAGCTATGACCCATTCCCCCGTACCCCATCTCTTTCTCCTTTCTCCTTCCACAGGATGAGTAATAAGGTGGAGAATGAGTGTATTGGATGGCAAGATGATATTGGTGCTATACCTATGTTGGCAGGTAGAGAGAAAGTTGTGTTGTTTCTGCCAAGTAGATTAGTAGGACAAAATATATTCGTGGAATGATTTTCATCAAAACTTACATCCAACAGACTTGTTGGCACCTAACAAAAACTACTCTTTCTCAACTAAACTACTCGCCTCTGCTGTTGTAGAGGGGAACAGGCAGAGACAGCGAGTAGGATCGTTCTGTGTTCAATGAAACTCTTTTTACAGAAATTAGGTGATGGCTCTGATTTGCTGACTTCTGACTTATTTATTAGAAGGAGCCAGGGCTTGATATTGGACAAGTAGCAATTCTAGCTCAGACTCCATTATTAATTACCTGTGGATATTGAAAATGTCATTAAATAACTCTGAGTATCATTTTCTCCATTTGTAAATAGGATACATTTTTTAATTTATTTTGTGGAGTCAGTTGAAAGTGATACTTTTAAAAATAGAAATTGCCGTATAGACTTTTTATGGGAATGCCATAAAAGTATAATATCTAAAACATAGAGCACATTTTGTACATAGGAATCATGATTGCTACTATCGAAGACACTTTTCAACAGAATAATTTCTTTGCCAACATTTTCTTTTCATCTGTTCTCCTCATTACAAGAACTATTATCAACAATTAATTTGAAAGGTTGGGAGTGTCTTAAGAAAAATATTTAATTATACTTCTAGTTGAAGAAGTTTAGTAGACTGTCTTCGTAAGTCTCATTAAAAAGCCTGGCTTTATTTCTCTATAATCACATTTTACACTGTGGAACATCCTCAACTGTGAAGAACTTCCATAGTACTTACCAATATGTTTGTCTTTTTCACAATTTCTACCATATGTGATAATTTTCTACATATAATTTCAACCTATACCCTCCAATTTAAAAGATAAAATTATGTCAATAAGATGACTGATAAGTTATAAATTGAGAATAAAATTCAAAATCAGAAAAAAATAATTTTTATGAATTATAAAATAAAGGCCAGATAAAGATAATCTTTAAAACTTTTCCAATGCTACTTTTAAGATGGTGTGTGAGATTTCACTTCGGCTGCTTTCGGACTTCCCAGTGGGAAGGATAACAAAATTTAATATGAGCCCAGACATGCTCCCACCCTCTAATCTTTACCAATTCTGACAACAACTGTTTCTGTCATGCCATTCTCTACATATTTACTGGGTTTGATAATTTATTGCAAAGGCCACATTAAACTCAGAAAACCGTGCAGTTCTTTAGAGAAATTAAAATGGTACAATTCTGGATCAGAAATGCTCAGGATACAGTTCTTTGGTCAAGACAGCTTCTTCCCAATAATTTCTCCAGCTAGGCATTTCTCTGGCCCTTGTCCCCTCAGGCACATAGTCCCTTGTCATCTGCCCTGATCAAATTATGTTACAAAATTCTTTTAGCATTGTTGACAAATGTCCAAATGGTGGGTCACTCCACCATGAGCTGCAGCCGAAGGCGTTTGTCTCTACCTTTGTGTGTCATTGAGAATGGAGAGACCTTACTTCACAAGTGACCTCCTGCCCAAAGGCATTTAACTTTGTTTGTTCTTTAGGCTGGGGAGCCCATGGCTCTGTCTCTTGCCCTGGCTATAGGTTCTGCTGCTGCTGTTCTTTCAGTACCAAAGTTCTCTGTCTCCTGGATCTAGGAGGTCCAGTGCCCAGAGATCTTGGGATCCAAAGGATGAGCATTATACTTGGCTTTTTTGTGTGTGTGATGGAAGTGAACTTCCTCCATTCTTACTTATGAAACGGCTCCTTTTATAATCATTGGTATGGCAAAATTGACCAAGCCCCCCAGTAGGGTTCCAAGTCTTCACAATCAAAATTATCCTGCTAATTATCACTCACAACCAAGTTGTGTAACCCTATTAGCATTTCTTAAGTAAATTCAACATTGGCCATCATAATGAATGAAACTAATTTTTAGCAAAGTAAGATTTAAATTTCCTCACTATATTGTTGTATAATGTGATTTTTTAAATCTTCCTGAACACTACAGTTTATATACCAAATCAATGCTAGCTTTTAAAATCTTACGATAGTGTTTTATGTTCAAAGTTGACTTATTGTATTGATTCTAAAAGATGGTGCCATGTTTCCTAATTTTAGAATTGTATTTTTAACTAGGTAGTCAATTCTAATATAATTATCCCCGGACCTTCTCTTACCCAAAAAAAGCCCTGGTGGTGCAGTGGTTATGCATTGGGCTACTAACCGTGAAGTAAGCAATTTGAAATCCCCATCTGCTCCTTGGAAGAAAGACAGGGCTTTCTACTCCTGCAAAGAGTTCGCGTCTTGAAAACTCACAGGGGCAGTTCTAGCCTCTCCTGTAGAGTTGCTATGAGTCAACATTGACGCGATGGCAGCGAGTTTTTGAGTTCTTTTACTCATAGGAACCTTAGTGTAGTT